AAAGAATGATGAGGTAAAGGGGATACTGGGGAAGAGAGTTGTACTGCCAAGAGAGGCTGAATCCTCCTTCTGCAATCTTCATTAAGTGATTTGAGGATTATTGAACTTGAGGGATGATGCTACAACCTGTATTATTATTCCCAATAATATCACTCTCTTTTAATGTCAGTCGACCAACAATGACCAGCGAGGGATGCTGTTAGGAATAAGTAGTGTTGTTAATAATGTATTCCCTCTCTTACCTCTTCTATCGGCCCCTTCTTGTTCATCTTCCATTAATAATAATGTTGTCTTTGCTACTTGGTCACCTTTACTACTTATTTCTCTTTCATTCTCACTAATAATTTCTCTATCATCCTCATCCTTTTCTTCATCATCTTCCACACCCCTTTCTTCTCCATCACCCCTCACCTTTACATAAACCAAGAAAACAGCTTCCTTGTATGCATGACAACATGATAGGTATGATGTTGCTTGAAATCATGCCCAAACTCAATTGGACTCTCTAACCAATCAACTACCCTCACAAATGGAAGTAAGTCGCCAAACTTTGTATTCCCATTCTCATTCGATTCGCATCTCTCCCAATGGCATTCTCACATGCTTAAATCCAACACCACACATCATCTTGCCACATACCAACACCTTCATTGTCACTTTATTGAATGTCAAATTGGGAACATCCAAATAATTGTACACAATCACTAACCCTGATGAACTTCTCCCTTTCATCTATACTGCCCCCAACATTTATCTTCATTGGCCCACAATCTTCTACGAATAAATGGAAAAATTTTTCGGGGACAGTTGAAGAATGGATTTGATGTAAATTCACACAACCATTAAGAACCATTTGCCCAATCTCCGGGGCTTGAGACAAATCTGGAAGTGCCATGAGATTTTTTGAATCATTTATTTATTTCCTTTAGATTTGGAAATTGCTGGAAAAAAGAAAAACAGCAATATTGTTAAATAAATTAGATAACTCCACATACGTACAATTTAATCAAGAATTTTTCTTATGCCCATTACAACAACAGCTGGACTCCCCCAAATTGTACAATTACTACTCTACCATCAATTGAAAGAAAGTAATAGAGTAAACATTTGCATTGTGAATTATTTTAGTCATGTTTCTTATAATCACAAGAACAAACAATTATGACATATCAGAAACTATATGTGCCTGATCTCCATCCCAAAGCTGATGGATATTACTCTTGGGCAAAAAGTTCAATAAGATTCTCAGCACAAAAACAATTAAATGTTTGCATTGTCAATTATTTTGGTAAATGTTTGATGCCACGTCTTACAATCACATACACCAACAAAAACATTATGACATACATTTGAAAAAACAGTGCGTATGTACCTGATTGCCATCACAAAGCTGTTGGATATTACTCCCAGGCAAATCAAGTTTAATGAGATTCTCAGCACAAAATTGTAATGGCACAGATGGCATGGATATTCTTCCCAACGAAGAAACCTTAATTCTTCTGAAAGATAAACCAACTCTTCACAAATATTCAACTTTGAAGGCTTTCTTTGATCAGACTTGTAAACATTAAGGAATATTAAATCATACATCCTTTGAAAATGACTAGCCCTCAATGCGATGCTTTTTATCTTGCTTGCATCCAATGACATGCATCGAATTGCCTCAATCCCCTGGTAATAATATCAAATCAAGGGAAACACAATTATCGTTACCTGAAAAAATGACCATAAATACCATAGAACAATTAAATATATCAACTTTTATCCAAATTAACACCGCTATATCCATTTCATTCAAAATTCCTTACAATTCATGTTTTTCCCGTAATATATGAATTTCTCAACAATAATAAATACACAGACACAGTAATGCATATAGCATGTGCAGATATTTAGAATATAACTAAAACAACAAAAAATTATTTGTTTTTTATTTTCCCGTTGTACTTCAACTAACAGTAAGTTATGCTCACACATGCGTATGCATATATCACTCAATGAAAATTCTTTGTACACTAATTTATCTTTTAAAATAACACATCACGAAAGTCCTAGCTAATTTTAAATTATAATTCTTTTGAACATTACTAGTTGTTATTGCAATCCTGTTTATCGTCTTCATGTCTAATGATGAGCATTGAATTGCCCCAGCCGCCTACTGATCAAATTGTGGGAAAAAATCAGTAATATGTAAAAGGTCATCAAATAATAAATAGAACGATTAAATATATTTTTTTAGGAATTTCTAAATGAATAGGCTTTTGCGCACTTTATTCAAACAATTCATTTCATCTTGCAATAAATAAATCGGACAATAACAGATACACACGCAGGATGGCGGGGACAATGATACGAACAGGCTTACATGCGCACGCTTATATTTCATATAAAAGGTTAATCTAATTTTTGATCCCTCAAGTTTTAAACTATGGATTTTGATTTCTCAAATTTCTTTTCATGTAAAATATTGGTTATTCTTTACCTAAAAGGATATTAATTCTTCTAATAATTTAATAAAAACCTAGACCATTTTATTCAACCCATGGTATGAAACTAAAGAGATTAAAATCAAAATTCATGTAAATTTAAGGGAAAAATATTATATTAACCCTTCGTATTAAAGAAAAACTAGTATATATAAAAACCGTGGCATCTATAAAATTTCTAAAAATTTCTTTTTCTGTTCAGATTTCATAATAAGTACTTTTTTGCAATATTAAATTTTAATAAGAAAACGCGTGAGGGTGAGAATATGCATGTGCAGTGCGTGAGAATACACACAATCACTTTTATACTACATCAGATATCAATTAATATGAAAAAAGGTAAACCTTTGTGGATAATTTTATAATTTATTGAAGATCTCATGCTCTAAATTTTATTTTATTTTTAAAAAAAGGCCTTATATCTTGCTAGTCATATTCTATCTCAAAACTTTAGGAAAACGAATATTTCAAAAGTTTAAGAAGATTAATATAATGAATCACACCTAATAGAAAGACTATGACCGCAGCCAATTTTAGTCAAACAAAGGACTTCTTTTATTGGGAAAAAATCGGATTCCGCAAACATTGAGACTAACTGAAGATTTTAATGAATAAACAAATAACTTTTAGAGAAGTAAATGACAACGAAATGAACCATTAAGAGAACAAAAAATACAATAAAATCTAAAAAAAAAATTATTACCTTGTCATTGTTGGAAAAATAACGATAAATATCCTCATGCCTCCACAGCCGAATGGGCTTGTTAGGATTAGATTTTAATTGTTGCTCAGAAATTTTAAGGCCCGTATCGATTAGTAGAGCATGCATCTTAATATCCTTATGTTCATCCACTGAAATAAGGAATCTCTCTTCAAGAACACTTATCTCAATATCTGCAATAGGACCATATAAGCATCTTGTATAGTGCCGAGAAATCCACCATCCTGCGTTCAACAAAAATGCAAGATCAAGAAATACTTTCTTCTGTGTGTCATCAAGTCCATCAAAACTCAATTTTAGCACATTAAAAATGTCATCGTGAGGAGTTTGATTTAGTTTCGCCAGAGCACTTTCCCACTCTTCTTTCCCTCTGCCATGAAGCAAGCAACCCACTACTTTTAGAGCTAAAGGATTTCCTTGACAATAATCCACTATCGACTTCGATAACTTTGAATAGCTTTTCAATGGCTCATGTTGCTTGAAAGCATTCAAGCTAAAGAGATGAAGGGCATCATGCGGTTCCAATTTCGAAACATGATATGTCGCTGGAGATTTAGAAGCAGAAGTATTTTTAAGCACCTGCCTGTCTCTTGATGTGATGATAACTCTACTTCCTTCCCTAAACCAATCACATGCTTTGATTAAATCTTCAGCCATTCTAAAATTGTCCACATCATCAAGTACCAGAAGAATTTTTTTATGCTCAAGCCTCCTTCTCATAGAAGCGTATGTTAATTGTAAGGGTTAATATCGTCGTCATCTAATAACTTTTTGAGGCATTCTTTGAGACATTTCGATCTATTCTTTGCCAGCTTTTGTCTGACATCTTCAACAAAGTGGAAAGCTTCAAAATCAACTGTCAACCTCTCAAAGACAGCTCTAGCAAGAGTGGTCTTGCCTATACCACCCATACCCCATATTCCCACAATGCGAGCTTCACCTAGCAGCTCTTCAACTTTCTGTATCTGATGATCAATCCCAACTAATCCATCCACATGAAAGGATGACTTGCGATTCAGTTTGCTCAAAACATCTTTGACAATCTTTTTGACAAGTTCGGGTTCAGGCCTAGCATAAATATAAATTGAAATAATGGTTATGTTTAATGCCCAAATTTAAGAAAGAAAATAAGAGCATCATAAGCACAATAAAAGCTACCTGAAATTCTTTGAATCCCACCCAGATAGACTTGCTGATTTGATCAAAGCATTTTCCCACTCCTGTACTCTGTTTTGGTCGTGCTTAGATCTCTGCATGAGCTTAGCAAATCCATCTCCAAATCTCCCATCCTGTTTCCGAATATTTGATGGATCTACATTGTAGAAAATTGGGACAACAAACCTTCCGTACTTATCCTTACATTTCATAATATGAACGAGTTCATCCATACACCATGTTGAAGATGCATAATCTTCAGAGAAAATGATCAAAGATATCTCTGATTCCTCTATTGTTTTAAGAAGGATTGGTGAGATATGGTCTCCTTTGTCGAGCTTGTGATCCATAAAAATATGAATGCCTGCTTGGCGAAGTGCCTCATAGAGATAACTTGAGAAAGTGTCACGAGTGTCTTCCCCTCTAAAGCTAAGAAACACTTCATACTTGATTGCAGGAGGAGGAGCATCAATGATTTGAGAAGGAGAAGAAATCGAGGGAATCGAATCAACAGCATTTTTACGACTGGATATGGAAAAAAATCATGAATAATAAATATTGGACTATGAGCAAATCACAAAGTGAACATTTAAAGGAGATGTTACCTAGGATCAAGTGGAGAGATTAATGTGATAGCTTTAGAAATTGCTATAGCCAGCAAAATCAACACAGCTTCTATGAGCGTTAGAGTAAAGGTTGCCTCCATGTGACTGTAATCTCTTGCTATGACCTGAAACTTTTCACCAACCCGAAACTAACGTGATAAAGTAATATTTTTTGGCTTTAACTTCTCAGGAGGCGCCGCGGTTTGGCTCTTGATTAGCACCATAAAAACATAAACAAAAATATTTAGGAAGTGGGAACAAGTTACGGAAAGATTGATGCGAAAATGAAGAACCTGTCTTTATGGATGGAATAATGTGAAAGAAAGAATTCATCATGTGGCCAGCTTACTAGTCAAGTGCACCCAACAACTTTACTGATTTATGTTTCTTATTAGCAACTTAATTTATTCAAGAAGAAGCTATATACAGTGAGTAACAATACACATGTTGAAGGCGAATCAGGCCGTGTCTCAATTTCTTGGTAAACTTATATTAAAGCCCACAAAATTTTATTAGTTCGAATACTAAATTACTCTCATATTTTTTTCTTCTGTTGGACTGAATAAATTGATATACATTAATATATGTTTGTTTTCTGTGAAAAACAAAACCGTACCAAGCAAGTGGATCAGGAGAAAACAGAATACGCCCAGTTCATTATATCGATGTCTTTTTCACGCGTAACAACAAAAAGCGGGGGTAATTAAGATGAAAGGAAGAACAAGCACTTTGCTTTTTTATAAAATAAATAACTGTGCCGTTTACTTCATTAAAAAAGTTTAAATAAAATAGATGAAGACTTTATTCTATAGATCAAGTCCACCATATCTTAGAAGGTTTTGGGGCTTTGTTTTTCAGAAGTTAAAGTATAAAAAATTCTAAATGTTGAGGTTTTATTAGATCTACGACTGTAAGGTAGCTATCGAGGAGAATCAATCAACAGCCAGCACTGGAAGAAGAAAAGAGAAAATCTTTTGCAGAATTTTTCTGGGAAAATTCCGGGGAAAAGTGCAGGGAAAACAGTAGAAGGAGCAATGGATCCATGAGACAAAGCAAATGAAAGAGAAGAAATGAACCTGGATGGATGTGGAGGGCAGCGAAAGAAATAGCTCTCACAAAATGGCAGCTTCAGAACTTGCAGACTTGCTTTCTCTTGAAACAAGCTCTTCAGTTCGGATTCAGATATCACCAAATGCCTCACTCATGTATTTATCTGTGTGTTTCAGAGGCTCTTTTTGCAGTTTCCGGGAAGTTGTCAATGGCGTTCCCGCGTTGCATTGCTGCTGCACCGTACGACTTGAGCAGCTTTACAAAAAGTTTCTGCCTGCATATTCCCTTCAATTATCTTTTTTTTTTTTCCTTCCTTGATAAATTTAAGATAAGTCCCAAAGACAAGGAAAATTATTTTACATATATCCATATTTTTCTCAATTTTTAAAAATAAGGAAGAAAAAACTGTAGAGATAACAAATTGAAAATAGTATAGTCATCTGTAAAATGATTTTCTTTAAAAATAAAAAGGGGCAGACATGCATATGGGGCTCTGGCTCTAATAGCTAGGCCATTGATTATGAGCAATGATTTTATTAAAAAACAAAAGATTGTGAGGAAGGACAATGATAAGATTTTTTGGGGGAAAAAGTAATACTGAGAAGCCAATTCATATATACTCCTCTGGTCTTATTTATAGGGCAGAGAGAGAAGGTTTTTTTTGGTCCTATTTATAGGGCACCTCATTAACTTTTTACTCTGATTTTACCATGTTGTCCTTCATTTATTATAATGTAGATAGTTACTTTTTTGAAAAAGGTATATATTAAATAGGGGTAAAGTTGGAAAGTTGCTATATTTAATGAGGAGTTAATGCAGTTTAGGTTTTTCTTGGTCTGTGTGAACTTGTTGGAAGTGCCTTATAAATAGGATCAGAGGAGTATATATATGTTTTGTCTTTCACCAAAGATTAAAAATAAAAACCATTTTGCTGACATTTATATTTTTCGGTTTTTTAGGTACCTATGTTTTTCGTTAAAGAAATTGGAAAAATATATTTGCTGATTTTTTTTTTTCATTTCATTTTTCAAGTTTTCCCTGTTAAAATTCCATTGGAAAATGCATTGAAAGACCAAGGAGAAGATCGCACACTCTAAAATCGAAAAGGGTGGGTTTTCTATAGGTGAATAAAAAATTAAAAAACATATTTAAGCATAAGACGATTTTTTTGACCGGAAAAGCGAAAAGAATGGAGGAAATAAAAACGAAAATGACATGAACCTTTTTGTTTCCTGGAAAAAAATAGGATATGGGTCTTAACTTATAAAGAGTTGGAAATTTTCCATCTTTCATATCCCTTTTCATACGTAACGTTTTTATTTTTATCTTTCATATCCCTTTTCATACATAACGTTTTTAATGACATTATAACTTAATGGTATTAAGATTTTTGTGTATGTAAAAGATTATGAATTTGGTCTCAGCTAAAATCTCAGGTTATTAATATACTATTCCCAGTTCTAATTATAAAAGCTAGTTAACTAATTTGAGACGATTAAAAAAAAAGTTAAGTTAGTTATTTGTAATAAATAAGTGTTGTCTTTCTTAAAATATCTTAACTAATCAAGTGTATTAGCTAGAACTATCATTATTAGAAGAACTTTTTTAAAAAAATACATAAATATGAGAAACAAAATAAATTGAAGTATTATATTTAGAACTAAAATAAAAATCAAATAACCTTTTATAGTAAAAATCAGACGTACTATGTTTTATGGATTAAGGGATAGATTGGTTATTTGAAGGCATCACTTTTTGGTACTCCTTACCTCCTTTCTCCTACCACTATCATTCCTGCTTCTGGGGTCAAAGGCCAAGTCAAGTCATCCCGCGTTTGAGTTTTGTGAATTGCCGGGTTAGTTCATTGTACAACGTACATTTGTTTTCTCGCCCCAACCCTTTGCTTTTGGAAAGAGTTACGCCCTGGAGGACTGTGTATCATGCTAGAAGAATTTTAAGCTCAATAATAGAATAATTATATATTAATCTGGTTTTTATATAAAAACTAATTGACTAATTTAAATAGATTTAAAAATTAATTAAATTAATTATTTATAATCAATAAATGTTATTTTTTCTAAAACACCCTTGCTAATCATGTGAATTAGTCAAAATAATTATTTAATAAAACATTTAACATATGCAACTATTACAATAATTATCTTCAAAAAAATAAATAAATGTAAGAGACTAAATAAATTGAGATATTATATTTAAAATCAAATTAAAAATTAAATTTTTCAACCCAATTCAAGCGTAGAAAAAGGATGGGCATTTCATAGGCAAATAGAAAAATGAAGAATATTTAAGCATAAAAAGAATTGAGGAAATAAAAAGACAAATGCCACGAATATATAAGCATGGAAAAGCTTTTTGATGAAAATGGATTTTACTTTTGGAAACTTCATGCCCTCCTTCTCATTTCCCACACATCACGCGTACCATTGAAGTCAACAAGTCAACTAGTCAAGTCGTCCCTTGCCGTGCACTGCCGCGCTGCTTTATGTAACGACCTTTTTGCTTTTGGCAAAAATTACACTTGAGCGAGACGCAGAGAAGAGGAGATTAGGAGAAAGAGAAGAAGGGAAGCACCTTTTGTATTTTTTCTATTATTTTATAATTGTAATTTAAAACTCAGTTTTTGACAGCAATTATGATAATTTAGGAACCTATTTCATTATTTCGTATATTCAAAGGTCTTCATTTGTTAATTTTTTCATATGAATATTAAATTATAAGGAGTACGACATTTTTTATCTTTCATATGTTTTCACATGTGTCATGTGAATTTTTATATAAATAAAAAGTCTAAAATTTGGTGTTAGCTATAGGGAGTATCTGGTAACACTTTAAAAGTCTTTGAAAAAAAATATTTTAACACAAGTCAAGACAAATTTTTTTCCACATATTTATTTTAATTATTTTAAACGGTTTAATCAAAACACCCTCGCAATCTCAAAATATTAATATATTTTTTTAATTAAAAAATAAATGGGCTATTTTTTGGCATATATACCAGAAGCTTTTGATGAAAATGGATTTCACTTCATGAAACTTCCTGCCCCTTACCTCCTCTATCATTCGGTCATACCCGCTTTTGGAGTCAACAAGTCAAGTCATCCCGTGTTCCTCGGTTTTGTAAATTGCCAGGTGCCTTCATTGAATATTTCGCAGTTTTGTACCGCACCGCCCTTTTGCTTTGAAAAATTACCCTCTCATGGGTCTACTTATTGTGTACCATTATTTGAGCATATGCTGGTTTGGATGTGTGCGTTTAAAAAAAAAAAAAACTTCAAATACATAAAGAGTCATAATTTGCATGTAATTAGAATATTCATATATAAATTATACATAATCTAACCAAAAAGAAAGTTAAGAGAGCACAAATACGACTGACTGCTAAACTTAAAACAATATAATTTAAGTGTGCGTATCTAAAAACCAAGTTGGTTAACCGGTTCAAAACTTTTAACTAGATTGGTCAAAAATAGATTTAATTACTAGTTTATTGGTTTGCTCAGTCAAATTGAGTTGAGTTTTCATGCATAAGTAAAAGCAATTAGAAAGAAGAAATGGGAACTAAAGGATACTTTAATCAGTCTTTGGGAAACTTGGTTTTTGTTTGGATTGTGTCTAAATGATTTTCTCAACATTAACTAATTAGAAGCTTTGCATTTCTGGGAATGATTTGCGCTTGTTTTGCTGGAGGGCATATCTCTTCCTCCAAAACTTCCTTGATAGCGTCTTACAGAGAAGCAAAGTGCCCATGGCAGAGTGCACGTTCCTTGATCTGCATCACTAAATTTTTATTCTCATTTCTTCTTTTAAAAAATTTTAAAAACTATACATGATTAATAGTTGTTCATCCGGATGTGTTGTGAAACACAATCAAAACATTGAGACTCGCATGGCAATTGCCCTGAAGTCAAGTTTCTTCTGCAATTTCTTACGCATTGCAACAATGGACTTGTCAACCTTAATAGGATAGCGCAGACAATGACGAGTTAAGTTCGGCCTATGATAAAGCGTTCTACAAGAGAAGTTGGGCCCA